AAGTATAAAATTTAAAACTATAAAACTTACAGAAAAAAATACTGGAGTGAATATTAAGAAAATAGGTAGAGGGGCCAGGGAGATGGCTCAGTGGAATAAGCGCTTGCCTGGCAAGTACAGGGACCTGAGTTCAATCCCTGGTTCTGCCAAAAAAAAAAAGGTAGAAAAGTTAATGTGTATGTTTCATTCACTATGTGAAGTTATAGTAGGAATGGTTTATGTTGATTAGATATGAAGTTCATTTTAGAAAAGTTATGTGAGGGGCCAGAGAGATGGCTCAGTAGAATAAGTGCTTCCCTGGTAAGCACAAGGGTCTGAGTTCAATCCCCGGTTTGACCAAAAAAAAAAAAAAAAAAACAAAGTTCCACAGAAAAGTAATGAAAGCAGTGAAGTTCTTTTGAGCTAGCTCAGTTTTCATTTGAGGAAACTAAAATCCTTAGAAGTGGTTGACACATGGTAATGTAGCGACAGTGTTAAGGTAAGTAATGATAACCGACTGTTAAGGTATCTTGTTTCTTATATCCGGCACCATCACCACCCTGCTCATATGTTTATTCCATTAACAAATGGGTCTCTTGAAGTCATTTTAGAATCCAGTGTAAATGATCTACACTATATAGCCTGTCTCTTTTCTTTGAAAACATTGCTGTTTGTTTTTGTCTTTTTGAGATAGGGTTTCACTACGCATTTCTGGCTGGCCTTGAACTCACTTTGTTGCCCGGGTGGGCCTTAAATGAGCAAGTCTTTTTGCCTGAGCTCCCAAGTGCTGGGATTACAGGCACGTGCCATCACGCCAGGCACAAAAACATTATTCCTAAAGATGCTGGGACACATACAGTCACACATTGGAAGAAGTCAAATAAAAGTCTGCACTGATTGACTTCTCAGGGCCTTTAACGTACTAGTATACATTGTGACCTGTCACAGGGGGCCATAATTGGCCAACTTCATTTGATCATAAATCTCTTCTTGACAAATCCCTCTGGGGGCCAGTATGTTATCGAGTATGCTTTGATATCATGTCTGAAATTAAACCTACATTGACGTGTGTGTGACAGAAAGATTACTTTCATATACCAGGTTTGTAAACCGTAAAGTTTTTTTTTTTTCCAGAAGAAACTATCAATAGATTTTTGTTGCAAATTTTGAAATGTTTGGTAGTCTTATTTCTTTTTCTCTACTTTTTGTTAAGCTTAATTAGATGATTCAAATGGTTTAATTTTGGAGATAAAATCATTCTGGGAGCAGAATTATTTATAAAATGAAAAAATTGTGAATAAATGTGTTATCCTAGCAAGTGACCAAAAGATATGGCACACATGTGAAAAGATAGTTTCTTTAGAAAAATATTTTAAGCTGAAATAGAATTTTTAAAAAAATTTATAATCCACGTGTATGTAGACAGTGTTTCAAACAGTGTTTATTCCCCCGACCCAGGTATCTCCTAAATATCCCAGGACCCCTTGACATTCCAGCCCATTTATGTAAAGAGAATTTTGATGATGACATGTTTAACCACCAAGTTCCTTATTTGTGGCTGATATACTGGTAAGATGTTACCCATTGCAGAGAGAATGCTGTGTCCTAAGCCTGCGTTTGCTATTTACTCTTAACATATGTAAGGTTAAATGTCATGATAAGGAGTGTAAGTTATGATCTGGATGTCTTTCACACAACTTTATGCCATATTAAAATTGGAGGGATGCTAACATCTTAAGAAAAAGAATTCCATTGTAATGTCTAGTGTTGAAAATGCAGTTTCATTCACACGTACATTTTCTTTGCTTGTTAAACAGCCTTTGTCATCCTCTTCAATCAAGTATTAAGGACACAGTAGAAGCATATGAGGCAGCGTTAGGGGTGGCCATGAGATCTGATATAGTACAGAAGATCTGGATGGAGTAAGTTTAGTTCCTCTTACTGGGATTTTGAAGTAAGGGATATGATGACAGAAAAGGTGGTTGGCTATTTTGGTGAGAGAATTACAGGCTTAATTGTAATATTTTTCTTTTGACAGTTATCTTGTCTTTGCCAATAATAGAGCTGCTGGATCCAGAAACAAAGTTCAAGAATTCAAATTTTTTACAGATTTAGTGAATAGATGTTTGGTTACAGTTCCTGCCCGATACCCCATTCCTTTTAGCAGTGCTGATTACTGGTCCAACTATGAATTTCATAATAGGGTAAGAACTTAAAACTTTTCTTTCTTTAGAATATTTGTACGAAATGAAGGACCTTTTAAAATAACACCGAACTATTTTTTATCCATAGTTTTTCCTAGGACTGTTTTGCTAGCATTCACTATACTTGACTGTGATTCTTGTCTCTTCAGAGTCTAGGAGTAGTGCCCTAAGACTCAAGATAAAATGTGATTTGTTATATTGAAGGAAATTTAACATTGAAGCAAAACTGAAGGGATGTTAATGTTTAATACATGTTAAGGAGAAAGATGAAACAAAGGATTCTATAGTGATGAAATCTGTAATATTTTGCATGACTAGTTGAAAATTTTGTTGAGCAAAAAAGTCTTAAAACTTCAAAATAAGTAATAGGCTGTTACACTAGAGCTGCATTTTTTTGTTAATGGTTTGTCAAGCAAAATATCACTATCACAGGGCATAAAAAAACTGAAATCTGGTACTGTTTACACAAAGTAGAATCTGATTACTGTATTCATAAAATGGTATCTTATAGATAGTGAAGCAAAGGGTTATGTTTTTATTTTTTTTAGAGACTCCATCAGCCAGATGTTTCTGTTAAAGTTTAATGTAGACTAAGACATGTTTTTTTGTTGTTGTTTTTGATGGGGTGGTTTTGTTGCTAATCAGGATAACCAATTATTATGCTTTGTACTTCTATGCCATTCTTTATCCCAGGATCTCAAACCACTTTACGGACATTAAGTCATTTACACACGGGCATTCCATGAGCAAGATGTGGCAGGTATCATTAACCCTATGACTTGCCCAGACATACAGCGAGTAAAGGTAGATCAGGAATGGAAACCCGGACTCCTGGCTTCTCGTCAGTGTTCTGTCCATGGCTCTCATTACTAGACCATATTTCCTAATTCATATTTGGAAAGTCATTAATACAATTAATGGCAGGAACAATAACAGCATCATACATTGTTATAACTTATACATTCATATCTTAAAAGACCATTTTGATTTTCTCATTAAAATGCATGGGTAATTGAATTTCACATTTGGTTGCATTCATTTTTCCCCCCCTCAACCTTTACAGGTTATTTTCTTTTATTTGAGCTGTGTTCCAAAGACCCAGCATTCCAAAACCTTGGAACGGTTTTGCTCAATTATGCCTACTAATTCTGGACTTGCACTGAGGTAAGAAAAAGATAAGATTCTATTGGCCCTCCTCTCAACTCAGTAATATAGGCTTATCATATAAAATGCTTGAAAACTGAATGAAACAGTCTTATGACTCCACTCTTTTCTCATGGATATACACTACTTTAATTTCAGAGGTGGTAAGCCAAGTTACTGTTCACACAAAATCCACTGTAAAGATCTGGTCACTTCAGAAAAGGAGGTTATAGGGCAGCAAATGATTCAAGTTTATCTTTTCCACAAGTACACACAAGTTGCTTAGAGATTTTTGTATCTTTATAGGTCAGTTGCTGTCAAATAGTATGCATTGGAATCTCCTAGGATGTGCATTTTAAATGTTGACTCCTAGGGCTGGCGACATAGCTCAGTGGACTAGACACCTGCTACGGCAAGCTCAGGGACTGGGGTTTGATCCCTGGCACCATAAGTCATGTTGGCCCTGCTCTGGGCGCAGAGACCGGGTATGGTGGTGCGCGCCTGTAATCCCAGCCTAGGGAGGCTGAAAACAGGAGGATCACTATGGGGTCTGAGCTCCATAGTGGGCGCCTATACCAAATACATTAAAAAATATGTACATACATACCTACATACAATTTCGATTCCTAAACTTGAGTTCTTTAGCCACATTTGAGAAGCACTGAGGTAGGGCTTTTACATTCAATTAGAATAGTGCTTCCTGAGATTTTTTTTGTGGTTCTTTGCTCTGATAGAGTAAACCTGTTTTCTCCCCATTTTTTAAGTTCAAAAGTGCCAATCGTTTTGACTTCTGCTTGTGTGCTTGTTCCGACTGCAATCATAAGTTATATATTAAGATTATGTTTTTTTATGGTTTGTAAGATACATAAAATATTTATCAAATATTCTCTTGTATCTTAAAGTAATTACATCTCATGTAGCAATTTTATGGGAAGATGGTATGAATTAGAAAAAAGCTAACACTTAAAGTTGTGACAAAAATAAACATACTGTTTTGTAATTAAATTTCTTGCCAACATTCTAACCTGTAGAGCTAATTACATAAATATGAATTATGAAGCATTGTTACCTTTTATGAATCATGTGAGATAGAAGAGGTGGTTTTATTTTAACTAGTTTTTAATGTAATAAGCATTTTAGATTACAGGTAGTTTTGTTGGTTTTATTGATAAATCCCACTTTTGTGTTTTGATACTTACTTCTTTGGGGTTATCCCTGTTCTTTTTTCCCCAAAACAGAGAATCTTGTAATTAGTCACTATTGTTGCATTTTAGTTTGAGAAACAGTCAAAATTGAGCATAAAATATCTTGGTATTCTAAAAATGCAAGGAAATTGCATTGTGTTATGATTTCAGAAACATTTGAGTCTGAGTGGAGAGTTACTTGCAAGGAGTGTTTTTATGTTCTGTAGGAATACATGGATCTTATTTTAGTTTGTTGGAGATGAGCACAGGTCTTGACTGGACCTCCTAGAAGTTTACACATTCCTGTCACAGGGTAATTCTTCTATGAGGCATTCTACAAATGTTTGCTGAGTAGCCTTCATAGACTTGAACTGAGTGAACTTTATAACTCAGAGACCACAGTTGAAGTTTCCACACTTGAAATGCTTTGTTCATTTTCCTGAATGTACTTTACAGGCTACTTCAACATGAATGGGAAGAAAGCAATGTTCAGATTCTGAAACTTCAAGCCAAGATGTTTACATATAATATCCCAACATGCCTGGCCACCTGGAAAATGTAATGCAACAATCATTTACCTGTTTTTGTAGCTATTGCTTTTATTTATAAAGTTTGTTCCAGACAGGTAAATCTGAAATGCCACCTATTTTTCCCTCTGGACAGATCTAATTTTGATTTGTTTTTGGCACTTCAACGTAGTTTAATACAAAGACTTAGTGCTCATGAGTGGTTGTCTGTAAAAGTGAAAGTGAATAGTGTTTCAATTTTCCTTGAAGGAGAACATTTAGATAATAAAATTGTTATCAAACAAATAAATCTATTATAAGGATTTTTTTTTTTTTTTTTTTTTTTTTGGCTGGCTTGAGTTGTGGGGATTGGACCACAGCAACCTGAGCCTGACTGCTTTGTTGAAGCAGCCACTTAAAGAACTGAGCTAAGGGGCAGGCCCCCAATAAATCTATTCTAGATTATCTTAAGGCCATCATTTAAAAAATGTGAGTGCCCTCCTCCCCATTTAGTCTTGATTTCATCTTTATTTTAAAGGTGTTAGCGCTAGGTATTTTTCAGTGATTATGAGTGAATCTTCCCCCCTTCCCACAAACACTGGTCTTCCTTATTCTTGTAAAGTTGATAAAAATTGTTGAATTTTTCTTTTCACTATAGGTTACCCTCCTTGGAAGTTTAGCCTGTTACTTTCAGGAAGTTTTATACTCAGATTCCCACAGTCAGTATTCTGCCAGTGGTTGTGTTTCATTTTGTTCAAAGATATATAAATTGTTCTTTTCCTTCTCTATATTCCTTTTTCCCCCTTAGAGCCATTGCTGCTGAGATTGTTCTAAAGGGACAAAGAGAGGTAAGCCAAAATTAAATACCAGATGGATCACTTTTTTTTTCCTTTTAGTTACTCTGTCCCCTTTTTTGACTTCTCAGTTTAAAAGGATTAAAGCATAAAATTAGCATTTTAAGATCTCTATATATTTGGAAACTCCAAAGCCCAACTCAGCCATTGATTGATTGACTGATTGATTGATTTTTGCGGTATCAGGGATTGAACTCCGGACCTTATGCTTGCCAGGCAGGCACTTATGCCACTGAGCTATCTCCCGGCTTCCAGCTCAACCTTTATGTCTTGAGTGTTGTTACATTGTGAAGTACCGTTCTTTAAATAGGATTTATGAAGGTGTTTTTTTCATCGCAATTTCTGATGGAGTTGTGTGTGTATCTATCTTGTAGGTCCACCGTTTATATCAGAGAGCCCTACAGAAGTTACCTCTTTGTGCATCACTATGGAAAGATGTAATGCTTTTTATCTTTTGTTTTATCATGATGTTTTCCTATAAATTTTCTGCATGTGCCATATCCATTGATGTGGTAATGCTCAAACTCTTAGCTATGTCTTACTTCTGTGCTTCCCTGTCTTTTACAGCAACTCTTGTTTGAAGCATCAGAAGGAGGTAAAACTGATAACCTGAGAAAACTAGTTTCCAAGTGCCAAGAGATTGGAGTCAGCCTAAATGAGCTCTTAAATTTAAACAGTAACAAAACAGAAAGCAAGAATCACTGAACACTGGGTGCAGTCAGTTCTAAGTCCTTATAATAATTGCCAAAATTATTTGAATGATCCTTCAAGATTAGGCTGATTCCTGGCTAAGGTCTGTGTAAGGCAGACAAGCACTATTGATTATATCAACTCCCCTACAATATCCTATCCTCAAAACCGGAAGTAATGAACATGGTGATCCTCTGCAATTGGATAAATGAACTTCCTGTTGGGCCTGCTTCTTGGCCCTGCCAGATTCTCATAACATCATGTACGTAAGTATAGCTTCTCAAAGTGACTGACATTTATTTTAATTTTACTTTTTGTTTTTGTTTTTTGCTTTCTCCCTTTATGTTGTTCTATTCCTGACTCACTTGACACTCTCTGATGCCTGAGAGGTTCTTGTTTGGGATTTAATTTTTAGGGCTGTGTTTACAGTAAAAAAGCAGGCAGTCCCTTTTAATTCTTATTTTTTAAAAATTTTTTGAGATTCTTCATTTCAGGATTTAAAACCTAAGCAGTCCATCTTAAGGAAAGTGTAACTGCCTTGGCCTCAAGTCTGCTAGTTGCACTTGAATGCTCTAATAGGGTTGTTTATTGCCCTTCCTACGTTCTGGACTCCTTGCTGAGACTGTTTAACTTGAAGATTAAAGAAACTATTGCAAATGCCAGTGCATCAGAACCTAAGAGTGGTCAAATATTATGTGCAATTTTTTTGTAAAGAAATTTTAATTTATAATAAAGTTTAACAGTTTAAAGAACAGTTAATATTTGAACTGCTTTGTATTGATACTACTTTGTAGTAGTATTAAAATTGTTTATATACAAAATATTTTTAATATAAGTTAACTTTTTAAACAACGTTGCTGTCTTTATTCACTTTTCACACTCTGGTGGGAGGGTTAAAGGTGAAGGTACAGGTACTCAGCAGACTCCATACTCACTGTGTTACTCTTTAAAAGGAAATCCTGTGAGCTCTTTTAATTAGTGGGAAGGTGGGTTTTTCTGAGGAGAGTGAACAGAGAGGTTTGTGCTCCCGTTCAGCACTTCATCCTCAAAAATTAGTGTTTAAAAAGTGTCTTTCATGCTAAAACATCACTGTGCCCTAAGGTAAAGAGGACCTTTTTGCTGTGTTTCATTCAGTCTGTGTTAATTTGGTTGCACCTCAGTAGAAAGTCATTAATGACACACATTGTTACTACTCGGCTCTTGTCAGCAGTCTTGATTTTTGGAGGCAGAATAGCATTCCCACAGAATAACAAGCAAATTTGTACAACTTTACATTTGTTTAACGTTTATTCAAAACAAAATTGTATTTTGAGGTCCTTCTATGTACCTATGAGACAGTTTGGCTAGCAAGTGCTGTCTGGAGGAGTCAAGGAATAGAGCTTACTTCTAGTGCCTTTATTTACCCAAAAGGAAAAGTGGAGGCATACATGTTTAAAATGAAAGAAATTACTGTGTGTGGTGGTGCATGCCTGCAATTAATTCTAGCACTTAGGAGGTGGAGGCAGGAGGGTCACTGAATTTGAGCCAGCCTGCACTGCATAGCAAGACCCTATCTCAAACCAGAAAATAAGAATAAAATTTTTTAAAAATATTAAAAATATATTAAGATGAAAGATAGTAATCCCAGAAAAGTGTTACTCTATTTTATGCATTTAAATATTTAACTTTGAAAAATTTTTCTCATTTGATTATTTGGTGCTTAACAAAAGTATTTCCAATCTGTCTTATAGTTTAATAATTGTTACAGTAACAGCAATTTGTTCAGCTTTTAGGACACAGTGCTAAGATTTGTGCTTTTTTTACACTCATAATTTCCATGAGCAAAAAATGCTGTACTTGAAGAATCCTCTGAATCTTTGCATGGAGAGCTTCCCTGGTGCTGCGCCTCAGCTGGAGCACCTGTCCACACAGGCTGTTACTGCCGCAGCTGTAGGTTGCAGTGCGCCATCACCTTGATGCGAGAGTATGCTCTGGTTGCTTGGCTGTTTCTTGATACAGGTCTCACTTGTGTAATTCAGAGTAGCCTTGAACTCCTGTGTAAGCTCAGGCTGGTACCAAACACAGAGCAGTCCTCCTGCCTCAGCCTCTTAAGTACTGGGACTGCAGGGTGCCCTTTTAAGTCTAGCTTCACTCTGTTCTCTCCTTGATCACTAGTCCTAGCTACTTAAGAGCTATGAAGATATCTTAAGAAAATGAAGTTTCCTTAAAAATAGTCTCTTAGGTCACCTTTTTTCTCTCAGTTTAATTTTATGAACTCCACTTTCCATATAAAACTAGCAAGCACTGCTTAAAAGTGAGGTGTATGTTTCTCATTTCTCAAACTTCTGTCTTTTAGTGATCTACTTTCAAAACATAACACTTAAAAATATTAAATAATTTTGGGTTAAAATTGATGTAGTTCTTACAATGACGTAAAAATATTTAACATACCGTGTGGCTAGAACCTTTGGGCAGAGAATGAGGAGGGGTCATTGAAAACCCAAATCCCTTGCATCCCACCCCCACTTCGGGAAAGAGACATACAACAGAGGCACTTTTGGCTCTGAGGTTTCATCTCTGATAAAGGAAATACACTAGATTATGGTGTTTTTAAATGTGTTTTCTTCATTTTAGAGAACAGTACAGTATTTCTATTTGCCTTTTAACAGAAAGTGACCTTGTAACATTGTTGACATAGGATTATCTAAGGCGGTTTGCTTTCAATTAAAGGGCATATAAACCTATATTGTAAAGCAAGCAAAAATCTCCAGGTGCAACATCTAAGAGTTAAAGGCACTAGACACACAAGCCAAAGGTGATTAAGACTAACAACAAATATAGAGGGACTTTATTGGAGATTGTAGTTCAAATATTTATATTGTAAGGTTGTTGAAAAAGAAGGGACATAGGGCCTAAAGAAGTCTGCTTTCATATTTGTGTGTTAACATTATTGAGAGAAGAGTGATATAGTATAGTTTTAGTCATCTTTCGTGTTTGAAATTATGCCTAAAATGTATCATTTTCCTCCAATAGAAATTAATTGGTTATTATATGGAACATATAGAAGAACAGCTGTTCAAGAAAAGTTATACTGCTAAGGAATATTTCTAATAATTTAGTTTTTTTTTTTTTTTTTGTGGTACTGGGGATTGAACTCAAGACCTTGCACTTGCCATGCAAGCGCTTATTCTACTGAGCTATCTCCCCAGCCTACTTTAGTTTTCTTGAGGGGCTTTTTTTGTTGTTCTCTATGATTGAATCTTTAGCTTTCTAAGCTATGATGTTTCTTATTCTATATGGTAGAACTGAAGAAAGATTTCCTTTTTTAAAAATTGTGTATTAGGGCTGTTTCATGTCACCCAAATGTCTACTTTCTGAGAGTTCCTCAGTTGCAGGTTTCCTTTGAAGGGATGGAGAGCCAACAGCCTCTAGGTACTTACTGCCTCATCTGCCTCTTGCCCGCCTCCCCTCCATTGCCCTCTTTGGGAACATGGACAGCGCAGTACTTTCTGAGCACTAAACTTGACTGAGGCCTCTGCCTTGCGTGTGAAAGATTTTTCAACTTATTCTAACATCTTTGAGGTAGATAATGGGAAGTTGGGGCTATCTTCCGCTTCACTTCCCCTTGTGTAATCTGAAAACTTCAAAATGAAGGTCAGCTGTGGATTTACAATATCTTTTGGTGGACCAAGTAAATTAAATCCTGTAACTGTTACTACCTAATGAACTAAATGTTATATGAAAAGACTGATAGCCAACAGTCTAAAGGAAAGAGTGATATAAAACTAGTTAGGTGTTTACTTCATTGGAAATAGTCAGCATCTGCTGCCAAGACTAAAACACACTCAGTTTAGCACATCCATCAATCATATTTATGAGACTGCCAGTGGATAAATTTGGCATGTGAAGCTAGTTGAAATGGAGATACAGAGAAATAGTTTCAGGGAATGGAGGCGTGAACCAATGAGTAATGACAGGATTGTATCTAAAGAGCTGGGCGTTCAGTTTGGTTCTGTCAGTGGTCAGCTGTGCAGTGTGATGGGCCTCTTCCTTGCTCCTCTTCTCCATGTTCACATCTGCAGATTGGTGCTCTTCCCTCAGGTGTTTAGACAGCATAGTTACTATCTCTAAAAAGTACTTAGTGTTGTGAATTTGAAATCATTTTCCAAAATGGATAGAGATGCTACAAAATTAAAATTTACTTCCTCTGGATATAATTCCAGTAGTATCATTTGATGATGCTCCCATTCTTCAGGCATGAGTTAGTTGCTGTCTGTGAAAGTCAGTGGTAGAACACTTGCCTAGCATGTACACAGCGCTGGATTTGATCCCTAGCATTAAAAAACTGCCATCCAAATTCACTGGCTTCTTTCTGACATTACTTGCCAAAATAACAAAAGCATCAGTTAAAACATGGTATTGGTTTTTAAGTCAAAAGATCAATATGAAAATCCTCTCCCTGTTTTCCGTTCAGAGAATTCTTAGTGTGTTAGCTAAACTCCTTTTGTGAGGCAATAGAGGATAAAGATAACCATTTATTACTCAAAGAACTAGTCATCTAATCTACTTTTCACTTTTTATTGGAGTTGCTTCCGAAGGGCATGGCAGTACTGACCAATTTTAGTTTATTTGCAGGCAGAAGTGATAAAAATGTCATTATCAAGACTTGAATGAAGTTTATATTGAAAATAATTCCCTAAATAAAATTGAAGATTACCTTAAAAAGAAAAGAAAAAAAAAGAACTATGATTTTACTTTCATTACAATTAGGCCAAACCTGGCTGCATCTCTGATACCAGTGATGGAAAGATAGAAAAATTGCACAATGCACAGTGGACGTGTAGTGTTCATAATTAGTGTTGAATGTGTCTCTATTAAATGCAGTGTGAACTAGTTGGGGAAATACTGAACCAAAATGATGAGTCAACACAGAGTTCCAAATTTATTCTGTAGGTGCCTCCTATATTGTGACTGAAAAAAATCTGAAAATAACAATGGCTTAAAATTTTTTCATTAAGACAGTGGACTAGGGTAATGTGTAGTCCTCTGTTACAAAGATGTACATATTTATGTCTTGTTGCTGTGTCCTGTGTGACCTCCACTCCCCAAAGGAATGCTGTACATGGTTATGCTACTCATATCCTGCACTTAAACACATGGTCAAAGAATTGCAGTAGTAGGAGCTGAAATGAAAACCAGGATCAGCTCATCAAATATCCCGGGGTGCTGTTTCAGTTAGCAGAAAGGAAGCGGGAGAGATGTTTGGATTCACACAAAAATACCAGTTGAATGCCAAGTTCTGTGGCAAGGGTGATCCTTTTTCTAAGTTATATAGCAACACCATGTATGTTGATCTGATATTTCCAGATGGCCTTTCCAGTCCCAGCCTTCTTATTCATATTCTGTTCAGTGGAAGGAAAAATGAGAGACAGCATTACAAGTTCTTAAGAACCCTTCTCAGAAAAAGCTGAACATACCTAGCTGATTTTGTTTTATTGTCTAGAACGTAACTCCTGGCCCCTGCAACACAGGCTTACTTTAGTTGCTATGCGAACCACCAAAATTCAGGTATGAAAGAGAAAACTTTTGGGGGACAGATAAATATACCTGCTGTATCACTATCAAGCAGACTGTGGGATATAGTGGTTTGAACCTACTGTAGCTTGTTCTGAGCTAAGAAACAACCCTGAACCATTAAAATCAGTTCCATGCTGCAAGTCTTCGTAATTATTTTGAAAAACAAAGTTCCTTTGTAGACTTAGCTGATCACTAGAGGATCAGGAACA